AAATGTATCTCTCTAGTTGAGAAGAATTTCAACTACTTTCAAGAACACGATTGAGGCGAAGACACCATACCTCCTGCGGTGATCGCACTTGGTCCATCCCCCTTGCGGCTAAATCCGGACACGTTGATCTGGTACCTAGTATACGGATCCAGTCCTTCAAGAACAACATCAAAAGTGTCTTTACGAACAGTTATGTTGTAAGTCGGTTCATCTCCCTCCTCAACTTCCTGGTCCCCAACCCTCACGGCCTTGTAGGAGACGCGGTAACCCAGGATTCTCTCCAGTATCAACTCGTCTTCAATTGGTCCCCACGTGACATTAACAGAGGAAGTTGTGGTGTAGTTGTAAGCTGTTAAGTTTGTTGGCGTGCTCTTTGTTCCTTTATGTCGAAAGAGATGCTTAATTAACGTATGAAAAAAAAAAAAGGGAAATGCATACACTTTCAAATGTAACGCGATTTTTGTGTAGGGTTATTTTCCGCTCTTAGGGCCTAGCCGTTCAAAACGCAAATCGCACGATCAATGCTCCAAAATATGGCTTGTGTACATTAAGGAAGCAGACTGGAGGAGGAGGAGGGGGATCAAGGAAGTGGGGTTGGGGGGGGGTGTTACGTACTTAAAATAGGGAATTTTTCTTTACTTCCGTGATACTCCATATTCACTGCAAAGTTTAAACATGTCTTAAAGCTGTTTTTTGAAACACGCTTAAAAACTGTGTTCTTCATAGAAGCCACTTTAACCAATGTTTGCTGACTTCGAAATTTAGCACATTGAAGATAGAAATTAGTGACTACTGAAAACCTATGGAAAATTCAGTTTCTTTTAGTTCTCTGTATCTCATTTTATCCAGTTAAACCCGTTTTAACTTGACATGCTTTGCTGATGTGCATGGAGTATAGGACTCAAGACCACAAGAACTACATTATTTTTGCCGGAACATAGCCCTAGTTTTACGCCCTCGTCTCCAAACACTCACCCAGGTTGTCAGGTAAAGCCAGGTCAAAAGTGGAGTTCCCTTCACCCTTCCCTGTAAATGCGACGATTCCAATGCTATAATTAGCAAAAATCTTCAGATCATAAAGAAACGCGTACAGTATGTCAGCGGTTGTGTTTTCAACCCTCTCTCCTGAGACGCCATCCAGTCGCCGATACTTGACTCGGTATCCAAGAATTATTCCATTTCGGCAGTGTTCGGGGACTGGTTTCCACTTTGCTAGGAGCGAGGTCAGCCCCGGGACATCGAATGCGACGTATTGTGGTGGCAGACAAGGGACTGGAAAGAAATCGATTGACAGCATGTATGTTCTATGTTATACGACAAGTAACCAGTATGGCAGCCATTTTTCATGTAATAAACTTTGTTGCCGAGATTTCTTGTAAAACGGTAGCCTATTTGGGGTGTTTCGTGAAACGTGAAACGGAGAGAAATAGAGAATTGCGGGATACTAGAGGCGGAGTGAACGAGCGAGGGAGGTTACATTAAATGCAAAAACTATGAATACTTTATAGGTTCATGGGACACCGACCGCTACAATTAACAAATGGTAAACACCACAGCGTACACTATTGAGTTATGGATGCACGCGGGAGGTTGCTAAGCACGAAAGAAGCGACTCTAACTTCTTGAGCGCTTAGCAAACCTCCCAAGTGCATCCATAACTCAATAGTGTACGCTGTGGTGTTTACCATTTGTTTTATAACATAACATTGATACATTGTAGCTAAAGAGTTCCCTTTTATTTAACAAATCTTACGCGACCAGAAAAAACAAGCGCGCGCGGAAAAATAGTCTTTGCATTTGCTCACGTCAGCAGCGTACACCCATGGGCAAATGGGGGACGCTAAATTGACCAATCAGAGCGCGCGCTTTACTTTGGTTATGTTATAAAATANTAAAATTAACAAATGGTAAACACCACAGCGTACACTATTGAGTTATGGATGCACGCGGGAGGTTGCTAAGCACGAAAGAAGCGTAAGAGTCGCTCGAGGCGATAGCCGAGAGCGACTCTAGCTTCTTGAGTGCTTAGCAAACCTCCCAAGTGCATCCATAACTCAATAGTGTACGCTGTGGTGTTTACCATTTGTTTTATAACATAACATTGATACATTGTAGCTAAAGATTTCCCTTTTATTTAACAAATCTTACGCGACCAGAAAAAACAAGCGCGCGCGGAAGAATAGTCTTTGCTCACGTCAGCAGCGTACACCCATGGGCAAATGGGGGACGCTAAATTGACCAATCAGAGCGCGCGCTTTAGTTTGGTTATGTAATAATACCTCCTTCGTCCGTCCGAGCCTTGTAAGGCTCACTGAATGGTCCCCGGCTGATCGTGAACGCGGCAACTTTGACATAGTAATAAGTCCATATTTTCAGTCTTGTCAGAATATACTTAAATGATTCGTCGGCGGCTCTCTTTTTCCTTCTCCTGCTAACATTATAACTTGGGGTACTAGTGGACATGTTAACATACTGAACATCACTGGGATCATCGACTAACCAATAGGCAATCACAAAACCTCTTATTTCGCCATTACGGTCCTCAGACGGGACTTGAGACCACGTGACCAATAAACTCGTAGAGCTTTCTTTGACGGCTAGGACTTCCGTAGGGGGTGAGGACGGGGCTGCGGATTTATTGAAAATATATATCTATAAATATAGGATCGTCTTATAAGTTCGGCTTTGGATAGCTGATTTACCATACTATAACAAAACGCTTTCAACAAACAAACAAACAAACGAATTATCATTGCTTAACTTACGAACCTTACAAAAGGATCCAAATTTGCCAAAAAGGAAGAGGGGGGTTCCGAGCCCCCAGAACCTTCCCCTCTGAGTGCGCCACCGACTCCCCTTTCTCCAGTACCCATAACCACCCATAACTCACCTGCTTCTGCTGTTCGAATCTTTAAGGGGATGCTGTACTCGCTGTTACCAATGGTATACATCAGAATGCGGATGATATACAGGGTATATTCATCAAGGTCAGACAACATCCAGGAGAAGTCTGCCGCTCGTTTTCTTCTAACAGACCCTGATCCTGTAAGCTGTACGTTCAACTCACTTGGTGTTACGTGCCTGTACTCGGCCGTGGAATTCCCTTTATCCATTCTACATAGATAAGAAACAACCAGAAAAACAAACAAGCGAATGAAAAAAGGCTGCTAAGAAATAAGAATAAAGGGGGTAAGTTTATAAAGAAACTGCTGTGCTGCGTGGATGGAATGGTGGGGTGGGGTGGGGTGGTATTACAAGGTAATTGGTTTTAGTATATACTAAAACAGTGGATGGCGTTGAAGGTGCGCTCTGATTGGCTAATCAATATCCTTTGCTATTTACCTCCGAGCAACTCGGGAAAAAATGGTGTCCCAGTTTGCATCCGTGACAAGCCAAGAAATCACTCAAATTAACGACGGTGGTGTATGTTATCTCACTGTTTAGGTCCGTACTGTCAAGACCTCGGGCCGATATTCTCCCAGTACGGCCCTCGCGCTTGGTTAATAAGATATATGTAATGACTGATGAGAACTCTTAAACTAAGCTTTCTTCACTTTTCCTAAGCTGTAGAAAAGCACATCACGTATTTGGAATTCTTTATCTGTCATAATTCCAGATTGCCACCAACTTTTGGACGGCAACAGGACCTCAAATACGAAGTTAGACGACCTAATCGCAGGTCTCTAGGAGACTGATCATTATTTATACCCGGGGAGGAAAGAAGAAGGGTGGGCTTTTGGAAGATTTTGGTTGTGTCATTATAAAATTTACTGATCTCATAAGGCTCTCAGATATTCTTGTAATCCCCACCCCCCCCGCCTTTATTGGTAATTCATTGGCAACCAGTTTTCTATAGTCATCCCCTTATACTCTGTTTGCGACGAATGGGCCCCCCCTTCATTAGCCCTTTAAACTATACGATTTCCACCCCCCCAAAAATCCTCCACCATCCGGGAATAAATAACAAATGGTTCTCAATGAGTTTCTAGGTAGGGGCTAAACACTTGTATTTAAGGGGCGCCGTCTATTATGCTTAGTAAAAAATTTTACCCTTTACTCAAGTTTAGTTAGGAAACTTTCAGCGATTTATCAAATGGAATATATTTTTAATTTCTAAGCACCCGTCTAGCAAGGATAGCACTTCAATGTTGCAGAACATTTATTGGGCAATAATTAACTTTAGTTTCATTTCAGACACCAAAACAATCCGCAGTTAGTTTCTCCTTGCACCAATAACAAATATTATATGATGCAATATTTTCTGATGCACCAACAAATTCATGGAATTATCATTAAAAAAAAATCCTGCATTGCGTAGGGAGAATATATCTTTTAACGTGAGTGAGTACCTACCGTCTTCCTCTGTCTTACAGTGAAAAGTATCACTTGCATTTCCTTCGCCATAGATGTTATAAGCAATAACGCTAAACTCGTATTCGACGTACTCTTCAAGGTTTCCCACAGTAAAGACCGTAATATTATCTTCTTCAACATCCAATTTATCAAACGTGCCATTGGAAGCAGCTTTCCTATAGTAGATATAGTAACCCACCACAACTCCGTCGGGGTCTGAGTACGAGTTTGCGACGCCATCCCAGAACAGAACACAGCTTGTAGAAGTTTTGTTGCTCAGGCCTAAATTTTCAGGAACGCGGTCTGGCGCTAAGAGGAGACAAATTTCGTGATCATGTCAGCGCAGACCAGTTATGATATGAGGGATGCAAGTAAACATTTCAAAAAGGGGAAGTTTGCTTCAGAATCCTAGACTCTGAGTTCTGAATAGTTTTCTAACTTGACTGGTTGGAAATGCGTTTTTGGGCAGCCCTTACTCATTCTAACAGATTGCCATGAGATGGGAAAAAGAGAAACTTCCTTTCACAGCTTCCCTCTGAGATGGCGGTTTGTTAAGTTTTGACCCTTCACAACCCAACACTGGTTTGCATGAGTAATTCTCCGTACTTTTCACTCTACATTTCTTGGGTTCTGACAAAGAGAATTTGTATATCAATCAAGGTGGTGTTTGATGTAGCAGTAATACTGAAAGGATAAATTAAACGCTAGTTACTCCTGGGGGTTTCATCTAAGCGACTTACGCGGGAGAACTTTGCTGTCCGTGAAAACCACAACTGGCTCGCTTTCATTACCGTCAGCAACTGTGAATGCCAACACTCGGATTTCATACTTAGAGTTGATTTCAAGCTCTCTGATTTCAAGGAACAAAGTATTTGCATCCACAGTTGAATTTTGATCTTCACTTTGCGAGTTGTTCAGATTCTTATAGATGATTCGATAACCACGCAAGATTCCCTGGATTGGCTCTGGTGGACGTCTCCACTTGACAAAAATACTGCGGGCGCTGGTGTTGTAAAAGTCAGTGATCTCTGGTGATGTGGTAGGAGCTGAAGTATTTACAAACAGTAAAAATAGCGAATAGGAGGAATTATGAAAGTATCGTTAATCGGCTCAAAAGCGAGACTTCCATTCTAAATCTAACTGATAACCGCCCCCCCTGCTTTTCCGCCCATTCCCCTCGAATAAGACCCTTTTTAGGGGGAATCACCATACTTGCGCACATTGACCAATTGTAGACAAACTCCAGAAGCATAAAGACCAGTTTAAAAACCCTGAGCTTTATTTTTCAGGCCGCCACGTTCTAGTAGGAAAAACTCTCTTGTCCCATTGCCCAGTCTCTTTCAGCAGTGAGTTTTGTAACGATATTATGCCGACATTAGTTCACAGCAGTTCGCGCAAATTTTCTTACGTCGATCCACGATCACGCATTGATCAATCCCATCAACTTATTTCGCTTTCAACCATTTTCATCAGGAACAAAATTTTTTTCTTCAAAAGCGTAAATAACAGGCTGGATCCGTTGTATTTAACTCTCACGTTTGTATTTGCAATCGAAAGTTTCTAATCAACTTTTTGCACAGATTGCAATAGAACGATCGCACTCTCTCGAGTGAAAGTTTGATTGCCAGTGTACCCATGTTTCAGTTTAAAAGTTAATGAAACGATAGTTGAAAAGGGAATAAAATATTCCTTACCGAGTTCTCCCGTGGGTACGATAATGGGTTCGCTGTAGTTACTACAGGCAACAGTTTTGGCGGCCACCTCAAAGGAATAATTCGAAAAAGGCTTCAATCCAGTTAAGACTTTAAACAACGAACCATCTGTAACCATCGAACGGAGTTCGTAGGGATTTCCTGCCAGCCCGTATCTGATGTGGTACTCTCTCACAACACCGTTTCTGTCAGATTCAGGGACTGGATCCCACTTGACCATGATGCTTCGCGCACTTATGTCGTGTCCTTTAATGTTTTGCGGAGGCAATGAGGGCGCTTAGGGAGGTAAACCAAATTGTATTAAAACAATTAAATCCACACGAAATGTACAAAATTACATTAACTAATTCGATAATTAGAGATCATAATAGAAACCTTGAAAAACTTTGCATCAAGTAAAAAACCTTGTGGTTCATGAGGTAAAGCGTCGAAAAACCCAGTTGGATTATATAAAAAATATACAAATGTACCATTCCCGAATTACCTGTTTCGTCCGTGAGACATTCAACCGCTTCACTAAAATTCCCCCTGCCAATGTTATTGTGCGCAGCCACTTTAATTTTATATGAGGTAAAAGCATGTAGCAAGTTGATCGTGACATTGAAAGTAACTTTATTGCATACAAGCACCGTAGTACCATAATTGTCAACTGACGTTTGTTTAGCAGAGTCATTTTTCTCCACGCTAACTTCGTAAAAAACCAGTTCACCGTTGACAAACTTGCTAGGAATACCTTCCCAGGTAACTTGGCAGCTGTGGGGCGTGGAAGAAATGGCGGAGAGAACTGTGGGGCTGGCTAAATATTCAAAAGTTATTCGCCTCAGGGTCGGTGAATATTATTGAATATACCCCAGACGAAGTCGAAGGGGTTATTCAACATTGTTAAAGAGATACTGATGAAATACCAGGATTTCTCCTTTTACTGAAAAATCATGTCTTCACCGAGCGCAGTGAAGATACTATTTTTATCTTTCAAGTGTGAGGATATTTGTGTGGCTATGGTTACCAACATAATTACCCAATTGCAGTTTCGAAAATGAATAAAAAAATTTGTCTTTTATGTGGAAACTTCATCAGTATCTATATAATAAACAGAACATTACATGGCCGCTTTGGGATACGAATTTCATCTTCTCGTGCTGAAGGTATCTCTCACGAGTGAGCGCGGCGAACTCGTGCGAGATACTTTCAGCACTCGAAGATAAAATTCGTATCCCAAAGCGGCCATGTAATATCCTCGACATATTCACTGAGGCTGAGGTGAATTATTCTTTTAGTCACTGCGCTGATGGTTTCAAATTCTGATGTAAATATTCGTTTTGATGTTGAGACCATTTTGTTTCTCATTTTATTACTCATATCGAGAAAAAAGCCATTTTCCACTAGAATTTGGGCAATCAGAGGGCCAATAACTAAAATCAACCAATCAAAATGCTCAACTGCCGGTCAAGATTCTCTCAGTATTGGACCGGGCACTGTCCCGAATGGTCCCAAATGATACCGCACTTTTGTCCCTTTCAACTCCAGTGGTATAATAAATCTCTTATTACCCCAGCCCACTCGGGACCGCACTGGAAGAATATCGGCCCTCGGTCTTTTTTGTACGGACCTTGCTGCGCTCGGACCTTGCTTGCTGCGCTCGGTCCGTACGGTCAAGACCTTGGGCCGATATTCTGCCAGTACGGCCCTCGCGCTTGGTTAATAAGATATATTTACTGACTATCCTCATTATCGCTATCAGTATTGTAATCATCATCTTTGTTACTGCTATTTTTATCATTATTATTATCAACATTATCAAAGTGTTTAAATTCATACTTACAGCCAGCTTTAGTTGTACATATCAATCTTGAGTTGCTAGAGTGGTTCCCTGGCCCTGCCGATGTTCTACCCACAACGCTGATGTGATATTTCGTGTAGATATCTAGCCCTGTCAAGCGATACCAGTAGATGACTGATGAAATATTTTGTCTTTTACTTTTTGATACCCTTTCATGGTCGTTAAAATACTGTATCTCAAATCCAATGATGACGCCATTTTGATACTCTTTGGGAACTGGGCTCCAGCGAATGTCACAGCTTTTACTGCTTGCATTGTAAACTTGTACGTTGGTTGGAGGGTGACTGGGCCCTAGTATAAGGAAAAGAAAAAAGAGAACTTCAGCGCCTCTCAATCAAGCCACAGTTCTATGTGAACGGAGATGACCAAAATCGATTTTTTATTGTTACTCAGCAAAGGGGTTATATCCTCTTAAATAAAGAGGAACGAATGCGTTACGAGGGCCGAATAAATGGCACTTTTGATACATGACAATTCAAACAAGCATTTTGCAGGTCGGCAAATTTAGGGGAGACGCCTACTTTGAAACCAGCTCCTTTTGTTTTCAACGATTTACTAATAAATCGACAATTTCAAGCTGTTGAATGATTCGGGATGAAATTCTATCTATTCGTATTTCTACAACTCGCAGAACACTAGAGAACACTGTCAGTTGCAAAACATTAAAGTTATAGAAGACCAGAGGTTTGAACTCGGTATTTAACGAAACCGTTTTCGAGCAAAAATGATTAGTAAATAAATGAATATTCCATGTTTTGTACTCGACATTTTCTTACATCGATTTACACATTTTGTGGACCAACTGCTACAGTTTTTCCCCCAATTGGCCTTCATTATCGCGGTGGCTCCGATTACCTGAGAGACTCTCTAATTACAACAGATCAAAAGTACAAAAACAGCCCATTAAATCTAAAACAACGTTTTGATTTCGAATGAGCAAATACC